AGGAAAACCCTGCACGGGGGGAGAATGAGGATGGGGAAGAGGGAGACAGGGCTGGGAGCACCAGGAGGAGCAGGGATGCTGCCAAGAGGGATTTTCCCACTGATGGACAAACAGACAGAAGACCCTGAAGGGATTAAAAATAATTCAGTGCCCCAAATGTCTTTAAAATTATTCAGTGCCCCAAACCTATAAAAATACTGCAGTGCCCCAAATGTCCTAAAAATAATTCCGTGCCCCACAGGAGTCTGGCACTCAGGGATTCTGTTGCCTTTTTAGGACTTTTTAGCTCCACTTTGTTTAAGGATGAAAGATTCCTGTCTCCAACCCTGGCTTGTGAATCACAGCTGTGGCACCGAGGAATCTGAACCTCTGTGTGGACCCTTCTACGCCCATGAATTAGGGGATTTTCCTCTGGTAAATATTCCTGCCTCCACTGGCAATTCCCTTTGTTATCTCTGGATAAGGAATGGATGGAGCAGCATCAGGGCTCTGGGGTAACATCCTTGCATTGTGGTGGGTCATGGGATCCTCATCCCAGCATGGCTCACAATCAATTTATTGGATTTTGGGCTTTTTTAGCCAAGGAAAATCAAGCAATGGAAAATCAAACATTTGTGTCTCACTTCCAGTTTACACTCCTCAATCTGTAAAAATGCAGATTTCAGAAGGTTTTGAGGAGTTTTGGGGCAGCACAACGGGATTTTAGCAGTGCTGGGGAGTGGGCAGAACTCTCTGGAGGGGGATAAGGAGGATGAGGCACCATGGGATGAAGGGATTTGTGTCCAAGCTTGGAAAACATGGGAATAGCAGCCAGGAAGTGACTCCAGGGCCTTCCTTGCAATCACTGTGGAATCCCAGAGTGGACACAAACAAACCCTCATTAAACCCTTCCCTGCCTTCTCTTGGGATGGGGATGAATCATCTGCCACTCTTGTGGCTGATAAAAGTCTTCAGAAGGCAGAGAGGGACCCAAATTCCTGCTCCACTTTTCTTGGAAGACCTTGTAAAAGCTGCTTTATGAAACTCCTGGCAGCTTCTCCTGAGTTTCCAGGCCCCTTGGTCATTTCCACGGTGCCAAACATCTTCCCCTTCCCTGGAGATCCCATTCCCAGTTGCCTCTGGACACATCAGCAGTGCCTGGATGGTGTCCATGATTTCCACATCAGTTCATGGGAATATGTGCACCAATTTGGGTGCAATTTTTGCCCCCCATGAGCCTCAGGCATGTGAGGAAAAAGTACAGAGGCAGCTGGGGAAAGGGAAAGGGAAAGGGAAAGGGAAAGGGAGAAAAGAATGGGAAGTGCCGTCGTTGCTTCTGTGACTAGGCCTGTCCTGAGCTCCCATCCCAGCTCTTCCAACACAGCCTCCAGAATAAATCAGTTTAAATTTGATTTTAGGAAAGATTTCTTCATTGCCAAGCCATGGCACAGCTGCCCAGGATGAGGCACTGGGCTGGAGCAGTAACCATGGCTGGGGTCACAGCATCTCCCCGAGACAGGGAGCTGTGAGCCAGGAGAGCTGAAAATTCCCTGGGAATTCTTTGATGAACTTGCAGTTACATTGGATCAGACCTCCAGAAAAATGGGACAAAACCATTCTGGATTTCATCCCAATCCCAAAAATCAAACAGGCCCATGGTGGGTAAACTTTCCTCCAGGCCAATTTCAAAAATGCTTCAAGTACCTTTTGAGCAAATCTCCATCCATCCGTCCATCCATCCATCCATCCATCCATCCATCCATCCATCCATCCATCCTTCCATCCATCCATCCATCCATCCATCCATCCAACAAATTGGTCTGGTTTATAACTCTCCCCCATCTGTAAATGCATCCCACAAAATATCTACGGGACACAGTTCCTGCAATTTATGGGAAAATAATCAAACATCCCTGGGATACAAGAAAACAACAAGGAGCAACCCAAACAGAAAAATTCCTTGGATGTGAGTGCCCAGACTCAGGGGTTTGAATTGTAGGTGAAGAAAAAAATCTCATCTTCTGCTCTTATAAAATTTAACAGGGACAAAAATTCATGGATGAACTCAGGCCAGCTCTGCTGTCAAAGAACGTTGGGATTTAAGTTTCATAGGACTTCCAGGAAACGTGTAAATATTGGGATGTTGTTTGGAGTTGTCATATTTTCCTGGATTCACATAAAACCGGAATTTTCCAGTAAATTAAAAAGAGCTGGATACTCTTTCCTTGCTTGGTTTTTCCAGCCTGGACAAAGAGGCTGCCACAGCAGCCTAAGCTCCTTCTGATCCCACTGTGTCATTCCTACCTTGGGAAAGGGAATTTCAGTCCCTCCAGCTCAACAATATAAAATCATCCATGGAGTAGCAAGAGTTTGGCTGCTGAAAGGTTTTTGCTGGCTGGGTTTGGAATTATGGAATCATGGAATGGTTTGGGTTGGAAGGAACCTTAAAGCTCATCCAGTTCCACCCCCTGCCATGGCAGGGACAACTTCCACTATCCCAGGTTGCTCCAAGCCCCAGTGTCCAGCCTGGCCTTGGACATTCCCAGGGATCCAGGGGCAGCTACAACTTCTCTGGGCACCCTGTGCCAGGGCCTGCCCACCCTCACAGGGGGGAATTTCTTTCCAGTATCCCACCTAAATCCCCATTCTTTTAGTTTAAAACTGTTCCCCTTTTGTCCTGGCACCATCTGGGCGCGTCCCTCTCCCTCCTTTTTCACAAGCCCTGCTGCATTCCCAGGCGATGGCGAGGGTGCCTCTGGAATTCCCGTCAGTCCCGCCCGGTACCAGAGCGGGGAGGATGCGGGGACGGGGGATGATGGGGGGGTGTGGAAGCGGGATGGGCTCACAGGAGAACGGGATGGGCTCACAGGGGATGCGGGAGCGGGATGTGCTCACACAGGAACGGGATGGGCTCACAGGGGATGCGGGATGGGCTCACAGGGGATGCGGGAGCGGGATGGGCTCACGGGGGATGCGGGAGCGGGATGGGCTGACAGGAGATGCGAGTTGCGCTCACAGAGGAGCGGGATGGGCTGACAAGGGATGCAGGAGCGGGATGGGCTCACACGGGAGCGGGATGTGCTCACACAGAAGCGGGATGGGCTGTCAAGGGATGCAGGAGCGGGATGCGCTCACAGGAGCGGGATGGGCTCACACGGGAGCGGGATGCGCTCTCAGGGGACGCGGGGACGGTGGGGGCTGGTCGGATGGAGGCGGAGGCAGGCGGGGGAAGGCGGTCCCGGGCACAGCGGGGGACGGCGCTCGCCGCCTCCCCGGCCATAAAGCGGCGGGGCCGGGGCCGGGCGGGCGGAGAGCAGCGGCGGGAGCGGCGCGGCCGGAGCGCACGGCGGGAGCGCAGCGGAGCGGCCGGGCCGCCCTGCCGAGGTAACGGGGGCGGCGGGGTCGGGGTCCCGCGGCCGGAGAGCGCCGGGACGGCTGCGGGGCTGAGCCGGGCTGAGCGGGGCTGTCCCCGCCGCTGTCCCCGCCGCTGTCCCCGCTCAGTCCCCGCCGCTGTCACCGCCGGGTCCGCGCCTGGGGCGGGCAGAGGGGACAGCGGGGCCGCTCTGCCCGCGCCCCCCGAGCCCCCAGCCCACCATGAGCAGCCCCCCAGCCTGACAAAGGGATGCGAGCTCCGGGCACGGGCGGCTGCTGCCCGCTGGGCTGTGCCGTGGGCATGGAATGGCCAGGGAAAGGGAGCCAGAGGCACTGCGGGAGGGGACCGGGAAGCCGGGACCGCGCTGATCCTCTTTCCATCCTTCCGTCTCTTCCTTGCCCAAGTCACTCCTTGCTCAAAGACGATTCTCCCTGTGAGCCGGGAGGAGCAGTGGAACGCGGGCTCAGCTCTGCCCCCGTACCCAAAGTGCCCACAGAGTTCTGTCTTTGTCCTTTAGTTGCTCCAGAATTTGTGTTGGGATCCTTTGGAGCAGCTCCTGGGAATCTTTGCGGCAGGACATGGGGACGGGACGAGCCCTTGGGCTGTTCCTTGGGTGTGGGGCCGGTCCTGCGGGGTCCCAACCTCCGAGCAGACCCAGGGCAGCCCTGAGATCACCCAGGGAGGGGGCAGAGCTGGAGGTCAGCTCAGGGAACCCCCTCCCTCCGTGCTCTCCCAAATGCCTGCACAGAGCACGGCATGGATCCAGGCTCCGGCTGCTGAGCCAGGTTTATGTAAGCTGCTGATTTGCAGTGTCAAGAGACATCCAAGAACCGGCTTGCCTTTGGAAAATGTACAAATCCGTGGCATCTGCCACGGAGCAATTGCTGTAGCAGCAGCCCAGGATTTGTCTTGGTCCCAGCCCCTTGGAGAGGTTCTGCCATCTCCCAGCTTGGCTGCGAGTCCGCGTTGAGCACTTTTCAGGAGCAAGGACAGAGCAGGAGTGCCAAAGGCTCTGTCCCTCTGTCCTTCAGGGAGCTGGTGCTGCTGTTCCCCAGCACCCCCGGGCTGTTCCCTGTGTGGCCCCACAGCCCCTCCAGCCCCGGCTCTGCGGGGCCCCTGCACGGGAACTCCTCCCTCGGCAGCTGCAGGATGCGGGGCTGGCGGGTCCCCAGGGTGTGACCGCCCTGCCTTTCCTGTTGTTGACAGCAGCCCCACGTCCCTGCACCTTCCTGGGCAGAGGCCGAGCCCCTCTGCTGCCTGGAGAGCTCAGGTGGAGACGGCACGGGCAGTGTGCCACGGTAGGGGAGGTGGCTGTGGATAATGCTGCTTGTTCCAGGAGCCGGGGATCGGGGAAGAGAGATGACTTCCAGACTCCTGGAGAGACAAGGATCGGGTCCTGCCCTGCCTGCTGACCCAAACCAGGCATTTAGCAGCGGCTTGGCAGTGCCGGGTTGGACTCCATGATCTTAGAGAGCTTTTCCAATCTAAACAATTCTATGATTCCATGTGTGATCTGGCTTGGGATCGTTTCCAATCACCTGGGACTGGGACAATGGCTTGGGATGCCCTGCAGCCAGCCGGGATCAGGGCGGTGGGCTGTGTTTTCTGGCAGTTCTGACACGGTTTTGATGGTTTGTGCTGCAGGAGGGAGCAGCGGGAGCTCACCATGGCCCTGGCGGAGCCCGCGAGCTGTGCCAAAGGCGGCGAGGACAGCAGCCCCTTCCCTGAGATCATCGAGCTGAACGTGGGCGGGCAGGTGTACATCACCCGGCTGCCCACGCTGCTCAGCGTGCCCGGCTCACGCCTCTGGCAGATGTTCACGCAGCAGAGCACGCGCTCGCTGGCCCGCGACAGCAAGGGCCGCTTCTTCGTGGACCGGGACGGGTTCCTGTTCCGCTACATCCTGGATTACATGAGGGACCAGCAGCTGGTGCTGCCCGAGCACTTCCCGGAGCGTGGCCGCCTGCAGCGCGAGGCCGAGTACTTCATGCTGCCCGAGCTGGCGAAGCTGCTGGTGCCCAAGCTCAGCGAGCAGAACTCGCTGGGGGACGATCCGTGCCAGAGCGACCCCGAGGAGCCGTCCCCGGGCGCGGACGCCGCACGCAGCCTGGGCTCGGCCGCTGCCACCGCTCTGCCCAGCGTGGGCACCGAGGGCCGCAGGGCAGGGTTCATCACCATCGGCTACCGCGGCTCCTACACGCTGGGCAGGGACAGCCAGACGGACGCCAAGTTCCGCAGGGTAGCCCGGATCATGGTGTGCGGCAAGACCTCGCTGGCCAAGGAGGTCTTTGGGGACACCTTGAACGAGAGCAGGGACCCGGACAGGCCCCCGGAGAGGTACACGTCCAGGTACTACCTCAAATTCACCTTCCTGGAGCAAGCCTTTGACAAACTGGCCGATGCCGGCTTCCACATGGTGGCCTGCAACTCCACGGGCACCTGTGCCTTCGCCCACGAGCAGACGGACGACAGGATCTGGACCTCTTACACCGAATATGTTTTCTATCGTGAGTGACACAAAACCAACCCTCCGCCAACCAACCGCTGACTGTCCCTTTCCTGTCCCATGCTGGCTGTGGCCTAGAAGGTAGAGATCCATCCCCGAATCCCGGCGTCCTCCCTTTGCCTCCTTTTCAGTTGGTTCTTGGGTTTTTTCCCTCCTCCTTGCTCCACGTTGAACCTGCCCGGCTCTTCCTTGTAGCAGCTGCTGACCACCAACCTTCCTCCCTCTCCGTGACCTCTGCAGTCGCTCCCAACCCTCCCTGGATGTGCGGACTCGGACACTGCTGTGGACGTGGGCTGGGTGGGAGGGGTGGGACACACTGGACACTGCTCTGGGCTGCCATTCCTGCAGCTTGGACACTGGACTGGGCTCTGTGTCCCGTGCAGCTCCACAGGATCCTGCTGCACTCACCGGGGGCTCGGAGAGGAATCCTTGGGATAAAGACATGGGAAAGGTGGGAAGCAGAGCCGGGGAGGGGGTGGGGAAGTGGCAGCCTGGCAGCACGGCTGGATTGGCAGGAGCCCTGTAAGCAGCTTAGCCTGAGGCTGGCAGCGCTTGGCAAGGGGAGAGGCTCCCCCTGTGCTCGCAACTCTGAGCTCAGACATCGCCGCGGCTCCGGGGTGCTCGGGAGGGATTTGGGGGGGATTTTGGGGAGGGTGGGAGGGGCAGGCGTTCTGTGAGGGAGGTGGGGGGGAGTGGGGAAGGTTTGATGTGCTCGGGGTTGTAAAATGCTTATACAGCTCTCCAGCTCCTTGGAGCCTTGTCAGACAAAGTCCCTTCATTTTTTCATGGGAGCACAACAGAAATCAGGGGGATGAGGTTAGAATGCTCCGGTGGTGACCACGGCTTCACCCAGCAAAGGGAATTTTGGCCATTTGGGTGATCCCCATGAGGTGTCTCCAATCCCAGCTCTCCAGGCCCTCCTGGGGCTGGAGCTGCTGCTGCTCTCCCCCAGTGGGCAATGAGAAATAAAGGGAGAGCCCGGAGTGGCCGTGTGCCCCCGTGCCCAGCTGGCACAGCACAGGGGAGGTTTGGTGGGGGGCTCCAACAGGAGAAGGAAGGGAGGAACACAAAGTTATGGGAGCCTCTGTGCCCTGCTCTGCCCCTCCTGTGCCTGCTGGGCAGGATCCCAGGGCAGCACATCACCCTGGGTGATGCCCAGCCCCAGCTCTGGCACACAGCCTCAGCCTGCAGGGGACATGAGCCTGATGTCCCTGATGTCCCTGATGCTGCCTCTGCTGTCCTCTGGTTCTCTGCCACCCCTTCCTGGCACCCACCAGCCATTCCTGACATCCACCCAAGGCACCCATCATCCATCCCTGCTCCCACCCTCCATTTCTGCTCCTCCACCCTCCATCCCTGCTCCTGCATCTTCCATCTCTGTTCCTACACTCAATCCCTGCTCCTCCACCCTTCATCCCTGCTCTTCCAACCCTCCATCCCTGTTCCCACCCTCCATCCCTGCTCCTCCACCCTCCATCCCCTCTCCCACCCTCCATCGCTGTTCCCATCATCCATCCCTGTTCCTACACTCAATCCCTGCTCCCACCCTCCATCCCTGCTCCCAGCACCCAGCCCAGCCCCTGTGAAGCTCCTGGAGCTGCAGGATCTCCTCCCAGGCTGGAGAGCATCCAAGGGGCCATTCCAGCTTGGGATCCATGTGGGAGGAAGGTTTGCAGCTCCTTCCTGGAGAGGAGGGAGGGCTCTGGGGCCAGCAGAAGTTTCAAACCAGGTTCTTCTCCCTCTCTCCTGAAGAAGGGGAAGGCAAAAACGGTGTTTTGACAGTTTTCATGGTCCTGTTCCTCATTCCAACGACCTCTGGAAGAGGAAATGACAGCAGGCTTTTAAAAAGGCAAGAAAAAGGAACTTGAGCTCTGTGTGCACACAAAGAAAACCTTTAAATAAAGGGAGAGGGGACCTGCATTCCATATTTGCTTTATCTTTTTGAACTTGAGATTCTCCTAAGTAGAATTGGGAAAGAAAATTGCTGCCTTGTGGGAAATGGGGCTCTTTTGATGTTTTTCCCCACTGGAACTGGGCTGAAAAATTGATCTCTTGGGAGGAGGAATTTTTGCCTGAGGGAGAAACCAGAATGGCAGAGTCACCATTCCGGGGGTTTTGATGTGGCAGGTTCTGGGATCAGGGCTGATCCCCCACAGGAAACACGAGCAGGAATTATTCCTGAATCCTTCCAGAGCCCGATGGTTTTCCTGGAAACTGAGACTTCATGAAAAAACCCTTCTGTTGAGATCCATCTCCACAAAAATGCACCCGCTTTGGGGTTGTTTCTTTTCCTTGCATGCATTTATTTATAGGAAAAGTGTCCTTGGCATGGCTGGGAGGAAAACCTGGCTCATTGATCCCCAGGAAAGGTCTTGGATCAAATAAGATCAAGCTTGCAGGGCATGGAAAAGCATCTCAGGGAGGTCTCCTCCTGTGAACAGTCCTGGCAAGCTGGGAAGAGCCAGGCAGGGAATGGCTGGAATGAGCTGGGAGCTCTCAGGGAGACAGTGGAGAACCAATTCCCTGGTGCTGCCTGGTTTTCCTGGGAATATTCACAAATTTCTGTGATTCCCAGACCCCAGGCTCCTGCTGGGCCATCCCTTGGGCTTGTCCCAACCACCCAGAGCTGCTCTGCTTGTCCTGTCCTTGTGCTGCCCCGAGCACCTCCCACATCTCCAGGGAAATCCAGCCTTGTCCAGCTCCTTCCTTCCCTGCTGGCTTTGGATTTGGGGCTGGTTTTCCCTTCCCTCCAAGAGGACAGGACCCTGCTCCTCGGCTTCCTGCCGGGTTAAGCCAAGCTCCAGGTGCTGCTGGGGGCACATCCTGCTCTTTTCCAGGAGCTCCATCCCGAGATCCTCCCTCCCCACCCTGCATTTCCAGGGCTGGGCAGAGGTTTGGGATGGCCCAGCTCATCCCTGGGAACGCTGGCACCCCGAGGGGCAGAGCACAGCTGGAGCAGGGGGGGCTGGCACCTTCCAGGGGGGATTATCCACCTTGTCTGGGAACACCAGGGCCGGCAGGGATCCCTGGGATTGCTGAAATCTGCCCAGCCCTGAGGACTCAGCAGCTTCTTCATCCTGCTGGGAGCGAGAGCCGAGGGCTGGGGTGGCTTTGGGATGGCTTTGGGATGGCTTTGGGATGGGTTTTAAGGCAATGAGGTCCCAAGGGGTGTCCAGGCAGCAGATCCCTGTGGGTCCCTCCCCTGCCCTCCCCTTCCTGCACACACCCAGGAATGTTCCCTCAAAGAACTTTCCCCAGGGCACTTCCCCAGGGGCAGTACAACCCAATCCCTCATTTCCAGCTTCCTGGAAAAGCCTCATCCCAAAATAAAACCCCTGGACAGAGCAGGAGCTGCGGCTGGCTCTGCCCTGCCATGCAGGCACCTGCCCACAAATTGCCAGTTGCTCCTCACAAAAACGGAGCTTGAGGAAAAGCCAGATCCCGTCTGTCTCCATCAGGCACTTCTGCCACCCCTGGAGAACATCTGGAAACACTTTGTGTCCTCGGCCTGGCTCCAGCCCCTCTCCAGGGGCACTTTGGGGGCAGAGGGGTCCCAAAGCTAAGCTCTCCCTAGCCATGGAGCAGCTCAATCCCATGGGACAAGGAGGCTCCTGTGGGGGACACAAAAATCCCATTCCCAGTCCTGATATCCCGTCCTGCCACAAAAACCCAAGGGATTTGATGGGATGTGAAATAGAAAGGATTTGGTGGTGGAGGAGAGGGGAGAAGCAGCTGGAAGTTGGAACCAGCCTCTTCCTCTCTCAGCTAACCAGGGAATGGTTTGGCTTGGAAAGGACCTTAAAGCTCATCCAGTCCAGTCCCACCCCTGCCAAAAGCTCCCTCCAAAATCTCATTAATATTAAAAATAAACTCCCAAAACTCCCTTTAAGAACATGGGCATCCAGCCCTGGGAAAAACCACTGGAGATCGGGGGAATTTCCAACTCCTGGTGCAGAAACTGCAGCCTGGGTGCTTTGTTAGGAGGGGTTTAACCAAACAAGGCTTTGGGCTGGGTTTAGCAGCTGCAGATGCTGAGTTCTGGCCACAGAGAGACCTCTGGGCCTCCTCCCAGGGCTGTGAGGAGCAGCAGGGGGAAGGCAGACGAGTGTTTGGGTCCCTTGGAGGTTTTGGGAGCTTTTGGATGTGCTGGAGAATTTGCCAAATAAATCTCCTTCAACCTGCGCTGACAGCTTGTGCTGAGCTTAAGCAGGCTGGGCTTGGGGATGTCCAGGTGGTTTCCTTCAAAGGCTCTGGCAGTCCAAAATGTTTTCCTCCATTCCAGGTGATGGATGGCTGGGAATTATCCCCCGCTGCTCCGGGAGGGCTGGACAGGATCTGAGGGAAATATGTTCCTGCAAATAACCCAAACCAGATTCCAGCTAAATCACTCTGGAGCCAAAGCACAACCTCTGCATCCCAAATGTTTGCCGTCCCTCCTTTCCCCCCTCCAGGATAAATCCCAGTGGGATAAATCCACCAGCGTCCTTAAAGGATGAATCCTTCCTTTACCCCCACAGCCCTTAAAACTCCTACCAGGAATAAATTTAAGGCCCCTTCCCACCCAAACCAGTCTGGGGTTCCATGATCTGGAATTTTGGAGGGAGATGGAGCCTGGCCTTATTATGGTCCTGTGCCATCATCCCAAGGATCCCTGTGGGAAGCAGGGAGGAGGAGCAGCGTGTTCCCTGGACATGAAATCCCTGGAATATTCCTTCAGGGAAAAAAAGCCCCTTCCCAGCAGGAGTAGGCATGAGGGGCTGCAGATTTTGGGGCCATTTCACAAGGAAAACGGCCTGAAAAATCAGATTTTCCCCTCAAAATTCAGCTTTTGGGTTCCCATCCAGTTAGAACCATGGAATAATCCAAACTGGAATATTCCAGGGCTCATCCAGTCCAGTCCTGCAGGATCAAGGTTTGTTTGCCTTTGGTTTGGGGCCCTTTCCGGGACCAGGGAGGGCCCACCCCCGAAAACCCAAACAAAGCCCAAATGTTTAAGGCTGAAAGATGAAAAGAATAAATAAAGGAAAAAAGGGGAAAATCAAGTTTTCCAGCCTTGTGCCGTGGGATTGGCCAGACAGGGAGTGTTTATTGGAGTCAGATGAGGAGGGCACAGGAAACTTTGGGGACCTGGAGAACCCAAAGAGACAACAAAGCAACTTCAAATTGGGGCTTGTGCCTCGCCCAGCCTGCCCTGCCTCAGTTTCCCCAGGAAATGAGCCCTTTGAGGACCCTGTTGGGCTGTTCTGGAGAGCAGAGCTCTGCTGGGAGCCATGGAAAGGATATTCCA